ATTTCGTGTCACGAGATGGCTCACACTGGGTGCACCATGACATATGATTTGCTTAGACAGCGAGCTTATTGGCCGAACATGAAGAGGGACGTCGATGCGTACGTGTTCTCGTGTCAGCAGTGTCAACTTCTGAAAGGAAACAATCAAGGGGCACCACAACCTATGTTGTCAATTCCAGTGTCCGAGATCGGTAAGCTGTGGTCAATCGACGTGATGGGGCCGTTCCCATTAACCAGACGAGGCAATAAGTACATAGTTGTGATGACGGAGCACTTTACCCGATGGATTGAGACGGCGGTGATTCCTGATCAACACGCTGGCACGATAACACATGCCATGGTAAAACACGTGATAGCGAGTCACGGGATTCCGAAAGCCATACTGAGAGACCAGGGCCCATGCTTTGTAAGTGACGAATTTCGGACATGTTTGGAGAAACTGGGCATAAAGAAGATACGGACCAGTCCCTACCATCCACAGACAAGCAGATGAACAGAGAGGAATAATAGAATGCTTAAAGAATGGTTACCGGCGAAAGGCCGTTATTGTTCCCATCTTCAAAGGCGGCTCGCGCTCGGAATGCGGCAACCATAGAGGAATCAGTCTGATCTCCATCGCCTCCAAATTACTCGCGTCCATAATTCTCCACAGACTGACTGGCGCTCGTGAAAGCCAGATTCGTGAGGAGCAAGCCGGGTTTCGTCGGGGTCGTGGCTGCATCGACCACATCTTCACCTTGCGTCAGTTGTTGGAGCACCGTCACACATATTGGCGGCCCACCGTAGTCGTGTTCCTCGACATCAAAGGTGCCTTCGATTCGGTTGATCGATGTGCCCTTTGGAATTGTCTACTCAGGAAAGGTATGCCCGAGAAATATGTAAATATTATCCAAGCATTATATGCGCGTAGCACGGGCAGAGTAAGGGCTTACAGCAGGCTGTCGCCACCCTTCAATATCTCCAGCGGTGTGAGACAAGGATGCCCGCTGTCACCTTTCCTATTCAACTTCGCAATTGACTAAGTCATGGAGATTGCATTTACAGGACATGACTTGGAAGGTGTGGAGCTACTCCCAGGAGAACGACTTCTTGACTTAGAGTATGCAGACGACATTGCCCTCATCTGTGACAGCTTCCAGATGTGTCAAGCCGCGCTGGACAGATTAGCACTGGCTGTCAGTCGCTTCGGGCTTTGCTTTGCACCACCGAAGTGCAAAGCGTTCCTCCAGGATTGGCAGGGTTCGCCCCCTGTGCTGACCCTTGTTGGGGATCAGCTAGAAGTCGTTCAGAAATTCAATTACCTGGGAAGTTGTATCGGCGCGCTTGGGATCGAAGACGAGATCACGAACCGCATAGCGAAAGCTCGAAGTGCTTTTGCTAACCTTCGCCACCTATGGCGACGGCGCGACATTACTCTCGCCCTGAAGGGTAGAGTGTACAATGCAGCGGTACGTTCGACCTTACTGTACGGTTGCGAAACCTGGCCCCTACGATCGGCGGACGTGAAGAGGCTACTTACGTTCGACCATCGGTGCCTTCGCAGTTTGGCTCACATCTGGTGGGAACACCGCGTGTGTAACGAGCGTGTTCGACGCCTTGTTTACGGCCTAGGAAAAGGGAATGAACCGCTCAGCACCGTCATTTCACTTACCAGGCTCCGATGGCTGGGCCACGTCTTGCGCATGTCAGCCCACCGACTCCCTCGACGTGCGTTGTTTGCTCACCGGGGATGTGAGTGGAAGAAGAGGAGAGGTGGCCAAGCGATGACTTGGTCCAGAGGAATGAAGGCCCTCACTTCGGAGCTGGCCTCAGTTGGAGCTTCACGGCTCCCTGGTTGGGGTCCAAAAGACGGTGAACACGTTTGGCTGGATACACTTGCTGATATGGCAAGGAGCCGACCTCAGTGGCGTTCCGGCTGTGAGTTTCTTTGTTCCTCCCCATCCCTTTAGCCTCCCCCTCCATCTACGATCTTATAGGGTAAAACGTAATTAAATGTTTGTTTTTGCCTAGTAGCCGGCTAGTAGCTTACCGGAGCGATGCCTATCCGTTGCTGGTAGCTCAGCTGGCATTCAACTGTCGTATTTATTTTTCCTTTATGTATTGTATGTATGTATGTATTTCCTTTATGTATTGCGGTACAATAGCGGAGGTGTTTTACCATCTCTAGCTGACATGTATAATGATGATGATGATGACCGGCGAAAGGAAGAGATTGGAAAGAAGCCTTACTACTATGTTTCTAGCACACCGAGCGTCCAAGCAAGCACCAAGAGATCCCCATTCCAGTTAGTGTACGGCCGCAGATCACGACTTCCGGTAGATCTGGAGAGGAGTTTGGCCGACTTGCCAGGTACCGCCAAGGGAAGTACGGAACGACAGAAAGTTAGCCAACCGAAATCTGAACGCAACTCAGAACCGGAGGATGGAAAGTTCCCGAGTGAATATGGGAAAACCGTCCATGGATTTCCCAATCGGTTCGAAGGTGAAATACAGAGACCACCAACGTGTGACCGCATGTGGCCCCGGAGAGAGGAAACTCCTGCCGACGTGGAAAAGACCTTATGAAGTAATCGGCCGAAGAGGGCCATTATGCACCATCGCCCGGCAGGGAGATAGGCGGCGAATCCAAGCTAGTGAATTGCGGAAATGGTGTGAACTAGCAGAGGAAGCGACATGCTTGGAACAGCCTCGAAGATCGGAGAGACTGTGCGAGGTCGTCTGTCGCGAACACTTTGGAGGGGAGGAGTGTGGTGCATTACTTATGAGTAGTATGGATATCAACGAGGGGGCGCAAGGGAAATCATGGGACGCGGGCAGACGAAAGTGTAGTGGAAAATCAACCGGACGACGTACATCTAAACAGATGCTCGGTGAATGAAAGTTTGCAATGGCGCATCACTCCGGGAAGGTGCGGCGAATGTCATGCGCAAATTGGACTCGTGTTACTATGTTCGAGTTATTATGTTAACCAGACATACGTTCTTCGATAAACCACTTGTCCGCCCCTCGTTGCATTCTCAACATGGTGGTTTTCCTTAACTTGAAGGCCACATGCGACTTGATCATGTTATGTCACTACAAATCCGTGAAGTGAATGCATGAAAAACTCCTTTACATAATGCATTTATCGTGACTCCCGAGGTTGACTATAGAGTCTGTGGGAAACTCTTTCTTGACTTCGACAGGATCACGTGACACTCAGCCGTCCGCCTGCGGACATCATATGAAATCGTTGACTTCACATCTTGTTGCCGTTGGGTTCACAAGTCTGCCCGGTTGGGATGCATGGGACGAGAAGCGCCGATGGCTGGAAACAATTCAGGATATGACGCGCAATCGAAACCAGTGGAAGATCTGCGTACATGCTTGTTTATATTCAGATGCTTAATGCCTAACAAATACAAAATAAACAAGGCGTGTGAACGAAACAAAAATAGGAGTTTCTTTCTGCGGCACAGGTGAAGCGTGTTGCTCACCTTCAGCTAATAGGCCATGATGATGATATGGTGGTTAAAGATGTATTTGTCCAGTGATTGTCATGGTTTTGCTTGGCTCCATGTCTATCCGTTAGACTGTTTCTAATAATAATAATACTAATACGTGGGGTTCGTTATGGTTGCCCTATATCTGTTCCTTCAGAATTTTCCGGAGTGGAAGTTCGGATAGATGGCCGACTGACAAACTGAGTATGCGGACGATATAGCTTTTCTAGGATTGACGCAGTGGCTTTGTATGCACTACTGAACAGGCTGACGCGTAGCGTTGCACGCTTCTGCATGTGATTTGCAAGACTATACCGACACGCCACGGGTACTAGCTATCAGAGAAATGACTCTGGAAATATTGGATCTGTTCACATACTTTGGTTGTTGTGTCAACTCTAGTGTTAACATCACTTAAAAGTTTAGTTCACAGATCAGCAAAGCCCGTTTAGCTTTTCAGTGGCTCAACTATCTATGAAGAAGCAGGATTCCAACCTGTCAGTGAAAGGTAGGCTGCGATAAAGCAAGCTACTGTATGCATTAGAGACCTATCCCTGTTTGATTATCAGGGCTTGCGAAGTATTGCTCTCATCTGGTGGGAACACCGGGTGAGCAGTCCTGAGGTTCGGCAGTTGGTTGTTGGCAAGGAACCTGGTGCATCATTCGAGTGTTTACTGAATTTTAAATACCTACGTTGGCTGGATCATGTCCTATGTGAGCCCGTTGACCGGCTTCCACGGCCCTGCATTATACGCTGTCGCTGCATCAAGTTGGGCGAACCCGTGAGGTGGCCACTCGATGGCGTGCCATGAAGAAATTGACAGATATTTGGTCCGGTTGGTGAGTGCAGTCTTCGTGGATGGGTGCATCGGCAGGGTCCACACCAGTGGTTGGAGACCGTATCAGACATGGCACAGTCGCGCAGTTATTGGCGTTTCTGCACTCGGTTTGTCGCATCTAGCCATTGATTTGAATTCAATCCCGATTAGTTTAACGCACTTCTACTGTGAATCCATTTTCTTTGCATTCGATTTGTGTTTATCCTCATTTTCTTACGTTTGGCGACTTAGGTCGCGGCACCCTGATCCACCGTACTTCGGTCCCCGGATCATAATTGTTCAACTGAACTGATAGTCTTTGTTATGTATGTCCGGAACTTATGCATCTCCGAATGTTACCTAAGTGAGTAGCTGGCATTCGTAAGTCCTGGTACTGCCGTGATCATGCAGCACGAGTGTAAGCCAATCTAATATAGTTGCAACGTTTGCGAGTAAACGTACTAATCCCACTGATTCGCGTTAATGTTCGATATGGGCTAATGCCATTTGAACTGCGAATGACGCAGCGTATGCTACCGATAGCCGGTGTGCAGTCGCAGGCGTCCTGTGGCTGTTCGCGATGAACTACTACCATTGCACCAAATTTTTATTATGATATGCAGTTGATAACTTTAATCTGTGCTTTGATTTATCCTGTTGCACTATGTTTGTCTCCCTTTTCTGTTGCCTGCTCCCATTAGGTTACTTCGCTTGGCGTAACTCCGCAGTTGGGAGTTGGTTCATACAAGAACTTTGCAGAACGTTGGAACAGGATACCCAGCGCAAGCCCATACGAGATGTCCTCAGCTTGCTCACCGTGGTGGCCCGTTGCGTTGCATACCAATACCGATCCAACACAGGTCAAATGGGCTCTCATAATATGGTTCAGATGACATGTTTCACATCTACCCTGACACGTTTGGTCTATTTGACTGGGAACCCAGGTGTTTGATGCTCCATTTCGCACACAATCATGGAGCTCACAATCTCCGCTACCTGTTTTCATTCTCTGTTTGATCCAGACTATATGATGGAGGCTTTAACTCCTATAGACCATTCCACCTATTTGATACTTTACTCCGAATAGCGCCCCCTGTCTCTTTTCGCTCAACAGTATTTGTAACTACTTTCATGCTCTAGGCACGCCTGTCAAGAAGATTATGATTACGTCAAGCCAAGAACCTCATTGAGAACTTCCTGATGTGACCTGATGCTCAAGTTTCTTACCTGGGTATTGCAGATAGGTATTGCTGGAATAGAAGCTCATATTCGAAATTTAAATGGGATTGAGGCTAATTTAGTCCTAAAAGTTTTATACAGCTTATTGGCCATTTTTAGTGATAACTGTTACATACACTCGAGTGCCTGGTACTTGAAAACGGGTGGGTTTATCGATTCAGATTCACTTTGTTCTCGTATCAGGTAGAGTTATCACATCTAAATTATCGTGTAAACGGATAAAACCTCTATTCCTACCGATTACCATACTTAAAGTCATGCATTCGATGGTACCTGAAGCTAACGTTACTTATGTGCTTCGGTCTGAAGATTTCTCATTATCACCGCTGGTTTACCGCTCATTTATGTCAACGTTAGGCAACCACATGAGCAACAACCAAGCGAATATTATGAGGATTTTGTGAGTTTCAAATAGTTTTATTACAGCCAGACTCAATCACACAGCTACAACCATCCGGAAGAGAGCTAGCGGATGCTCATTGGAAGCTAAATCCGGAAGAATTAGAGGGAAAGTGTGCGCTGTTGACCACCCCCGACTGCTGCCCCCCCATCCTGATAGTGAGAACACAAGACAACCCGGAAGCGGTATACGAGATGATTCTGATAAATTCCTGGCTTTGGCCAGAAAGAAGAGAGCTAGAATCATGAAATGATACATTTATTCGATATATCCACTCCCGAGACTGATGCACTTGATACGGCGTATTTGCAGTTTTTTTGACCGTTTAGGGAAGTCATTTGGTTGTGCCTCAAAACAGCATGTTTGACGTCAGAGATGTCTTCTAAACATCGCCCCTTCAGATGGTTCTTCGAGTTAGCGAAGAAATAATAGTCCGGTGGGGCCAGATCAGGTGATGGAGATGGTGAATTTATTGGAAGTCGTAACATTGGACGTGTGAACAGGTGCATTGCCCTGCAAGAAAGGGATGTAATTGGTCACCTTTCCGTGGCATTTCCTCTTACTTCCCTCACTCACCTGATCCAAGAGATTAGCCATATAATACTGTCCAGTGATACTGGAACCCTGAGGAAGGTAGTCCATCAACAGAACACCGACTTTGTCCCCGAAAACGGACGCCGTGACTTTTTAGGTGCGGAACTTTTTTGGCCGCAGGAACCCGTGGCATTATTCGTTCGATTGATCTTTGGTTTCATGACCATATAAATAAAGCCAGGTTTCATCTTCAGTCACTAATCCAGTCAGAAAGTCCCATGTGTCATCAAAATAGTACGAAGTGTTTTCAAATGATTCAAATTGTTTCGGTTTCTGTTCACTGGTAAAACATGTCGGCGGCACCCACTTTACGCATGTTCAGGATAGTAGGAATAATAAGCCCAACACGTTCCCATGAGATGCAATATCTGGGTAATCTTATCGGATATTCCCGGTCTTCCATAATCAGTTCATGGACAGCCCCGCAGGTTGTTGGGTCAGTTAAGGTTTTGGGACCCCCTACTGCGGAGCTTATCTTAAGTATTGAAATAATCAATTTTGAGACGAGAAATCCAGGTGCTTGTAACATATCGTTGTGAGTTCCCTTCACGGAGGTTTTGTGGAGGGACAAAAACTTCAGATGATGTGAAACTTGCTTCTGCCTTTATCGTTACAGCTTCTGCCAAAAAAACCGATTTATTAGAATCACAAGCCTGATATTTTCACAGTTACTCACATACTAAGTTGTATGATATTCGAGCGTTAGTTGAAACGGTATTAGGAGGCTGAAGCTCCTGTTTTCGAATTGGGAATCAGCATCCGATCCGGGGACCGGTAATGTTTCCAGGTACGATGTTGGCTTCTCCATGGTGTTTACTAACCAGTTTTATTGATGGTAATGACTGATGTTGGCTACCAGCACGAGCGCACCCTTTGATACACAAGTTTATGTCTGATAAAGTTGCTGGGTCATCTACCACTGAGTGGTCCAGGCTTTCTAGTAACGAGAAAGTGAGATCGTCAGAATCAGTCTCGCTAATTCGCTCCAACAGAAACATTCTGTAAGATTTCCACAATGTAAAATCAATCTCAATGTACGGGCAGTAGATTACCTTGGCGCAGCGGACCTGCCAAGACTTACTTCAGTGTTCCGTCAAGCATACGGGTCACCGTATGGGAGAATGAATCAAATAGCAGTGTATAACAACAATTGACCCTAAAGACGCTAGTCTTTCCATGATTAGGGTCATCGATACTGCTAACCACACACAAATGTAAGTTCTACAAACTATCTGAAACGAAAAAGCCATAGGAATTAATCTATTCACTAATGAGGTGCCTGAAGCTTATCGAACAATCAGCTTCGAGCGTTTTCGCCATAGTGTGTTAGAGTCGATTCAAATCGGCATCGGATTCAATCACCTCGCTCCTTAGCAACGGTGGCATTTGAACTCGGTCTAATAGTACTAGTTGGCGGACTGAGTTGTTACTGGCATGCAGCCTCGAAGCCGGGTGCCTGATTGAATTCAGGGGTAGGTGATATGCAGCATGCACTTAACGCGGTCGGAATACGGGTGAGTGTTCCAGTCAAGCGACAATTTTTTACTGACGTGTGCCGCCAGAAACGCAGACACCCCATTTAAGAAGGAGGCAGCTGTATCTTCTATCCATCGGCGGCGTGAATAACATTGGGTGGAGGGGTGGACTGCGTCGTAGCGCAGTTACCGCAAATTCCGATGATACTTAAATGTCAGCAATCTTGCTATTTCGAAAAGTTGCGCCGAGGGGATTTGTGCAATGTTGCGACAAATCCGTTGCTGCTGTGCAGATCAAAATATCGGTGACTGCACGACAGAGACAGTAGAAAACCGATTGTTTTGACCATCGACATTAGCATGAGAGGAGCAATTTCGAAAATAAACGATTCATTTATTTATGAGTCATACCGAATTCCGCTAGAAGATGTATGGAAAGAAACCTGCACTGGAGTGTATATTAAATCTGACTGGCCGTATGCCCCTCAGCGTGCACTCTAGGTCATCGTTGCACCTAGTTGTGGAGGCCGGTATTTTCCGAGTGGAGGCCTCGTAGTCGGCTACACCAGTAACTGGGGACAGTACAGCCGCGGGGTCACTGGAATTCTTGTATCTAGCTGTTAACATTCCAATTAAGCTAGTCTTACCCGCTTTTCCTGAAGCCCTTTTTATTCTGCTTGTGTTTTACTTCATTTTCCCCATTGTCGATTTTCATCATTCCAGCAATGCGAGTCACGGTAACTGGATCCGATCGTATTGGAACCATGACTGCTTAGTTGAACTCAACCGTTGCTGAGCTCATGTGGCACACAACGCTGTCTACATTTTTCAAAAGATGCTTCTGATGAACTTTCCCTTAATAATGTGTCGGCTGTACGCCGTCATGACTCTTCGCTGCCACGCGAACACATGTCGCGTGTGGGCTGAGTATACCGCAACGACGCCCGCCCCTACACGGATTCGAACCGGTGACATCGATCGATTATATTCACCCGAGGCGCTGAACGTAGCAGCAACAACGTTGGCCGAGCCATTATCGCATTTCTTCTAAACGTGCTTGGGTAAGCAAATTGTGCCTACCATGTGGAAACATGGGTTAATCACCCCAAATTTCAAAAGCGGTAATCGCTCGGTACTTGCCAACTATCGCCCAGTGGTCCTCCTCCTTGTACTCTCAAAGGTGATGGAGGCAAGCATCGCTGAGGCTTTAGTAGACCATCTAGAACGTCACAACATCATAGCACCCGAGAAACACGGTTTCCGTCAGCACCGCTCATGCACTACTAACCTACTGATTGTACGCAGTAGTTGGACGGATCAGCCGATAAAGGTAGACAGACGTCATTTATCTCGACTTGGCAATAATCGGGATACCTGCAACTCGTTTTCGTTCTTTTCTCCGAGCTGAACACTTTCGTTGCTGACGTTTCATCACCAATCGTAGGCGGTCAAGAATCGACAAACCACTCAGTTTGCCTACTACGCACTGAAGTAGTCACATCGATTGGTGACGAAACGTCTGCTACGAAACTGTTCAGCTCGGAGAACAGAAAGAAATATTTACCTCGACTTCTCCAAAGCCTTCGACCGACTGGAACACCGCATTCTGCTTCACAGGCTTGAAAACTATAGAATTGGGGATCCTGTCCTTGGGTGGATCAGGAATTTCCTGCAAGGTCGGCAACTGCAGGTCACAGTTCGAAGTGCGTTGTCCGATCCGATTTACGTCGAATGTGGAGTTCCACAAGGATCAGTTCTGGGGCCGCATCTGTTTCTTGTGTTCATCAACGAACTTACGCATTTGATTGCCTCAGATTTCTTGCTGTTCGCTGATGATGTTAAGGTGTGGCGGACGATCGTCGGCCCAAGATATCACGATGCACTTCAGCAAAACATGGGCAGAACTTATGTGGTCACTCCACAGTCTGCTCCGGTTCATTTCGGGAAAGTGTCTTGTTTTTCCCATTCGCCACCAGCCAAACATCACATACAAGCTTGGAGACCATGTCTTGCAAGCAGTTACCCAGGAGCGCGACCTTAGGATACTAATCCAGGCTGATCTGAGCTGCTCAGAACAATGTGAGATGGCGTCAAAGACTGGAAACCGACATGCTGGCATGCTGCGGAGGGCATTCGGGCGGTTGGATACCTCTCCGCAGTTGCTTAACACCTATGTGGCAGCCTTGGTACAAGCAAGACTTTGCAGCGCTCGAGACTCCACAGCGACGAGCCACGAAACAAGTCAAAAGGATTGTTCAATCTTTCTTATCAACTTAGACTGAGGACCCTTAATTTATACGGCGACCGGTATCGGCGCCTACGTGGCGACCTTACTATGGCCTAACAGATTCTAAGGAACCCCAACCACGCCCGCCGCCACTTACTGCAATTGAGCCACAACAGGAATTTGAGGGGCCACCAGTTCAAGTTAGCCACGCAATACAGTCGGCTAGAATGTCGGGGGAACTTTTACTCTCTTCGTGTGTGTTAGCCTTGAAACGCCCTCCCAAATTACGCCGTTTCCGCCCCCACTTTACCTGTGTTACCCTAACTCTGTGTGTCTCGACAGACGATATAATGCGACGAAAGTTGCACAACCGTGGTTGGCTCTTTCTGCGTGCGTCTGTGTTAACACGGTGGAGTCCACCAAAACGATTTTCATTTTATCACTTTGTGTTCTATTCACCATTTAGTAGTTCTCTTTCTGGCCATTCTACGGGACTTGCTAAGCATCCGCTTTTTTGCCCGTAAGTATGTAAGTTCCACTAGTTGCAAGCCATACGTGCAGACAAATCGGCCACGGGCGGACAACTTTCTCATTGTTTACTGCACTCGCTCATGAGTAAGATGCAGCCCTGAGTCGGTTGGTGAGCTTAGCTGTTTAACTAGTCGGTAATTAGATGCGAAGAAAATCGTGCTGTCAGACACCTGTTGACAGTGGGCA